CATCCAGTGCTCATCCCCCAAGTGCCCTCCTCAATGCCCATCATCCATTTAGCCCATCTCTCCACCTAACACCCCACCAGCAACCCTCAGTTTGTTCTCTGTATTTAAGTCTCTTACGGTTTGTCTCCCTTCCTGTTTTTATCCTATTTTTGCTTCCCTATGTTCATCTGCTTTGTTTCTTAATTCCCCATATGAATGAAATCATACGATATTTATATTTCTCTGACTTATTTTGCTTAGCATTAAATACACTCTAATTCCATCCATGTTGTTGCAAATGGCAAGATGTCGCTCTTTTTGATAGCTGAGTAATATTCCTTTATATATATACACACACACCACATCTTTATCCATTCATCAGTTGATGGACATTTGGGCTCTTTCCACAATTTGGCTATTGTCGATAGTTCCCAGCACATGTTTTTTTTTTTAATTTTTTTTAACATTTATTTATTTTTGAGACAGAAAGAGAGCATGAACAGGGGAGGGTCAGAGAAAGAGGGAGACACAGAATCTGAAACAGGCTCCAGGCTGTGAGCTGTCAGCACAGAGCCCGACGCGGGGCTTGAACCCACGGACTGCGAGATCATGACCTGAGCCGAAGTCGGACGCTTAACCGACTGAGCCACCCAGGCGCCCCCCGCCCCCAGCACATGTTTTAAATGCATCCTCACTCATGTACCTGACCAGCCTCTGCCCTTCTCTCCTTCTTTACCAAAAGGATCAGAAGTAGAGAATCCTAGACTGTGTGCGCTGCTCCACTACCCTCAAATATTCATCCTCTTCACTTAAAATGTCTCTCTCTACATTTTCCCCCTCCTGGGGGGAAAACATAATTTCAGAAGTGCTCTCCTCCCTCTTGTCAGTTTTGACCCACACTTAGTACTCCTGGATCCCTGCTCCAACCCTCCTGAGCCCCACCTTCAGTCTCTACTTCTGGGCTCACCAACTTTCCTGTTTCCTATTGCCAGAGTACAAGCAAAGCCTCATTTCCAAGGAGAGCATCCCTGCTCAATCCTGCTACACTCTCCAGTCGCTCTCTCTTCGTCACCAAACTTCTCCAGAAGATCACCTCAGTCTTTTTCCTTTCCTTACCAAAATCCATGCCCTTAGCCACACGATCCGAATTTCACTTCCACATCCTGAAACTGTGGAAAGTCCTCAAAGGCCATCCTGGGTCTTTCCACACATCCCTCCCTGGCGTCAAGTACAGACTTTGGAGGCTGGTGTTCAGACCCTCCCCAGTCAGGTTCCTACCCATCTGTCTTTGGCCCAGTTTCCTTCTCATTTCCATGAATTTCACCCACTGAAAACTTACCTCTCCTTTAAGGTTCCTTTGGAAATGTCCTCGCTTTCATGAAGCTTGCTCCAATCCCATTCCCCTAAATTCTTAGCTTCTATTTGCACCAGGTACTTAGTTCCTATTATATGTGCACACAAGCTGTACTTGACCCAAAAGTGCTGTAGGGCAAAGGTCATGCCCTATTCTTATTCCCCATAGTAAATGGCAGGGCCAGGAGGAGGGCAAGGCAATCAGAGTTCCCCATAGCAAAATTTTAGAGGCGCTCATTCTCAGGTTCATGCTAACTGCAGAGATGGCACTTATATTTGGTTCTCTAGGGGCCACACTTATGCCACCCTGGTGACTACTTATGACCCTTTGACATAGATTGAAAATAAATGAATCTATAAACCAATGAATCAGTAAGACGACAGTGTAATGATTCCTTATCTTCCTTGTGAATGAAATTGGAGAGAGTAAATGTAGAATGCAATCATAATCAGTGAGACAGAAAGGGAAGTCTGCCGGGGAGTTTCTAGGAATATAAATAAAAACACCAGGAGGACTCTCCCCTCTTCTTCCATGAGATGCTGTCATGGCTGAATATAGCACCTGGAATTATTGACGGCAGCCACACTGGGAAGAGCCCAAGGATGAGACCGGTGGAGACCAGAAAGGCAGAGCCAAGAGAGAGGGTGCTGGAGCCCTGACCCATCGCGTCTGCGGCCTGCCCATTCTCTGGACTTCTCATGGGAGACAAGAGATCATTTGATCCATTAAGCCACTTGCATCAAGGGTGTCAGCCTGTTTCCAAGTCAGGGTTTTTGGTCACTTACGTCAGGCAAAATAATACTGAGAAGTGTCATTTCCCAGGAGAGAAGCGTGTGGCAGAACAGGGAGCCAGGCAATTTCTGCACCCTCTTCTCTTCCTTCTTTCAGGAGATGGGTGAATGGGTCTGGGTAAAGGCCCCACGCTCAACCTGGCCTCTCGAGCTCTCGCTCCTGAAGGCCCCGGGGATCAGGACCGTCCACAGCCCCACCGTGCTTCGGTCCTCCACGTGACAAGCAGATCAGGCGGACTCTTCAGCTGACACAGAGAGAACTATCATTCTCCAGCGGCTTCTCTTCAAACTAGCCAGGAGGAACAGGATACTCAGCTTTGGCCTGGTGTCCTGCACTCTCTGGTGGCCTTTTAGCATCTGTAAAGTTGATTCCTTGATTCCCGCTTAGCCCTTTCGGCCTGGTTCCAAGCAGGTTAAGAGACACAAGTCATTCGATACTTCCCAAACCCCCTAAATTCTTCTCAGAAAGTAACCACATTAAATTTCGCCAAATTAGGCAAGTTGAAGAAGCAAAGGAACAGGGATTTTCATGAGAAAACGTCTGTGGCATCTGAACTCTGGTTTCAGGCGAAGGTGGACCGACAGAGACAGGCCTTGCCCTCACCTGTGAAACGACGAAAAACCAGCACCGTTTGGTGCGACAAACCACACTGTCCCAGCTGTTGGGACAGTGAACCTGAGGCAACAGAGGACAAAGACCTCTGAGGAACGGGAAACAGTGTTCCCTGCAACCGCATCAGCGCTCTGCCTTGTGGGTGAAGCCCAGTGGTCTCAGAGCCCGGAGTCCAGGGGTACCTCCAGAGGGTCCCCCTGAGTCTTCAGCTGAGTAATAAATGCATGGGGAGGAAGAAGTGATAAGAAGCCAAGGAAAGAAACTCTCAGATGACTGGAGGGCACACGAGCTCTCTCAAAGAGAGCTGGGAATAAGTTACCTTTCTGTCAACCATACCTCAGTAAAGTGGTCTAAAAATACAATGAAGATAGTGTCTCTTTCCACAGCCAAAGTGACAGTTCTCATAATTCACTCAACATGGGGCAGTGTCCCTAGAGTGTGTGGCCTTAATGGTGGGACAAAACTTGCCCTAGACTCAATTCTTCTCTGGTCCCACCTAACAAAGCTTCTTGAAAGCAAGACCAGAAAGGATCAAATTATTCCCGAGTACCTTAACGGCATCCAGAAACAAAGCTCGCAAATATTTACAGGGATAAAAATATCCAACACCCAAGAAGATAGAATTCATATCTCATCCAAAATTACTCGGCGTAGAAGAAGGTTGAGAGAAAAAGCGTCATCTCCTTTTTCACCCCGTTCTACGTCCTCCCTCTTATGCTCAGATCTGGCTGGGGATGCTTCCAAGAGGGCTACCCTGTGTCCCAGAGCCACAGTGATTCACCCCGCGACTAGCCGGCACTCACAGACTCTTGCTGTCAAGCCCCAGCACCAGACTGCCTGGGCTGCGCTGAGGCCAAGGGCCCCCTGAGCCCGCCCTTCCACCCCCAGCCCTCCACGAGGGTGCCCTCACAGGCCCAGGCTGGGGGGCAGGGGGACACGTGCTCTCTCGCTGCCTTAGACACCTGCCTGGCAGACTGAGACAGGTCATCCATGCTGGGGACACAGTGCCTGGTGGCCCAACTGACCCGGAAACCATCTCTCCAGGGTACCTGGGACTTCTTTCTAAAGAATATACAGAACTGATACGACGAGATAACATTTCTTTTTAATGAAACCAGTGCTTCCCCCATTATTTACCCCCTTTCTCTCTTCCCATTTAAGCAACTTGGCTGTTCTGCTCTCACTGCCTCAGGAAAGATATATGATGACCAAAAGCAGATCTTTTAAATTTTTAATTAATTTATTTTTTATATAATTGTTTTAATGTTTATTTATATTTGAGAGAGAGAGAGACAGAGTGCGGGGGGGGGGGGGCAGGCAGAGAGAGGCTGAAGCAGGCTCCAGGCTCTGAGCTGTCTGCACAGAGTCCGACACTGGGGCTTGAACTCACAAACCATGAGATCATGACCTGAGCCGAAATCGGATGCTTAATTTACTGAGCCACCAGGGAGCCCCTAAAATTTTATTTAAGAATCCTCTTCCTGGCATTATACCCAGGCCTATACCCTTCCTTAAATAACAGAAAGGATTCAGAATAAAGACTTAGATTTGGAAGAATTTTAAAAAGGAAGAAAAGTTCTCCCTAAAGTTCAAGGTTGGGTGTGAAACTTCCAAGGGGCCAGGAGAGCAGTCAGGGCCCATGGACCACCCAGCGCCCACCCAAGGAAGCCCCCTGCATGGCCTGTGTCCAGCGAGAGCGTCTCTCCAACAGTATCACCAGGATGTCTGCCCACACTGGTTGATCCAGAAGAAATGCTGGGTCTTGGTACCCCAGAACTTGGCATCCTTCCCCATCCAGCCCTATCAGTAAGCGTGGATTAATGGTCCTACAAAGTATCACTGCCGAGCAAACTGGAGAAATCCTCACAGTCCACTTCCAGGGGGGAGCTCAGATCTAAGGCATGTCGAACACTCCCAAGTCCTGCACAGTGGTAGCCCCTTTCACTCTTCACAGACCGTAACCTTCACCTCGGGCAATCTTGTTCTTGCGCGCGCGCGCGCGCGCGCGCGCACACACACACACACACACACACACACACACACACACACACAGTCTTTTCAGCTCATCTCCCATTTGCACCTTCCGGTTGCTTGGGCAAACTCTCTCTCTTGCTCTCTGAGGAATCCTACAAACAACCAGTTGCATCGGAGAATCCAAAACAACCTGTTAAGGCTACCCTTGAAAGCCCATTTATAAAGCTGTCTTTAGAGAAAAAAAAAAAAAGCAGAGTTCAGGTTTGGAGGAAAAAAATACAGTTGGGAACCTCATGTTTTGAAACTTGAAACAAGCAGAAAAATGTATTGCTCTTGGGTTGGTTGATCTTACAAATCTTGATCAATGTTTAATGCAACCTAAAAGCAGAATAAAAAGTAAATATACTTTAATACAATCAGAATTGTGAAAAGGTACAAGCCAAAGAAATCAGAGTTGGGGTCAATTCTATGTGACTATGTAAATGAAGCTTTTCGATAGTTTTCGAACTAGTTCAAGTAAGATCCAAACTCAGCATGATAACAACGGTGTTCTCAAGCACAGTGTTTATCAACCCATCCTTTCTTCTCCTTCTCTTGCTCCCCTCCCCCCTTTCTTACTGTTATCCCTATCATTCTTGTAGGGGTCCTCCTCCTGTGTCCACCCCTTAAATGATGGAATGTGTAATGGATGTGCCTGAGCCCCGTCCTGCACATTCTGCACATTCTCCTAGGTACCCGACTCCCTCTCCTAGCTTCACCTAGCTCATATGCCGATGACTGCTATGTTCCTATCTCCTGCTTGGACAGCTCTCTTGTCCTCTGAACCTGTACCGCACATCAACTGGTCTTTGGCCACTTACATCTGCGTATCTCAGGGTCACCTGAGACTCAGCATGTCCACAACGGAAGCCATCATTTTCACAAAACCTACTTCCTCTTCTTATGTTCCTCACCTCAACAAATGGCTAAGCTCTGAGTCCGGTTGGTTGCCCATGGCAGAAACCTGGGCATCACCTTGACTTTCTTCTGTCCCTTCTCCTCCCAGCCAATATCAAATCCACTGGGTTCTCCCCATCTCTGCTGTCTACACCCTGATCCTAGCCCTGGTCATCCTGCATCTGGACAATTATAAAACCTCCTAAGTGGTCTCTCTTTTCCACGCATACCCACTCGAATCCTCTCTCTCCCCTCTAAAGCCACATCTCCAGTCCTCACATAAACCCTTTCAGTGAATCCCACTGCACTTGCCATACAGAGTACAGTGTGATGTGGCCATTAGCCACTTCTCCAGCTTGGAGTTGCACCATCTCCAAGCTCCGCACAACCCAGCCAGCGTCTCAGCTGGGCCATTCCGTTCTGTGGGAGTGTCTTGCTCTCCCTGTCTGCTGGGCTGAGCTCAGACTAACCCCTTAAGTTTCATTTCCTCAGGAAGACTCATCCAGGCTAGGTCTGTCCTCTTAGGTGCCCTTGGCCCATGCCGCCCCACCCCCACCCCGAGGGCAGGAGGCCCATCTGTTCTGTGCATTTGTCTTCGCTACCTCCCTGCGTGGTCCCAAAACACAGCAGACATTTAATGGAACATCTCTACTAACTGATTAGCACCAAGCCCTTCCAGTTCCCCCTTGTGAATAGGCCACCGATGCCATCTCTCTCTCGATTACTGCATTAGCCTCCTAATGGGTGTCCTCACCTCTCTCTCTCCATCCTCCCCTCCATGCTGCTGCCAGAGAGCTTTTCTAAAATGCAGGGCTGATAGCATCAGCCTCCATTGCCTTTAGGATAAAATCTACGGCATCTGGGCACAAATTACCAGGCCTTTCACAGCCTGGTTCCTGTTCCCTCCCCTGCGTGGTCTCTCCTCCTCCCTGCCTCACACCCCCAACTCTCCCCTGTCAGGTCTCTAGCTGTCTTGTACTCTCGAATCCTCCCCCTCGCACCCCCAGCAATCAGTCACCAACTTCCTTCAGGAAGCCTTCCCTGACAGGGCTCCTCCACTGGGCTGGCTGTCCCATTTTGTCAGTGCGCATGGTTAGGTCACTAAATACATCCTCTGCCAGGACAGTCCTGGTCTATACCCGCAGGTCCGGCTTAGATTAATAGCTCCCTTGTTCATTGTCAAAGCCTATTGCTCTGGGCAATAAACCACTTGTTCCCTCTAACAATGACTATCAATTGCTTATCCAATCGCCTATTTCCCCCCTAGACAAGGTAAAAAAAAAAAAGAAAAAAAAACTGTTTTATTCACAACATCAGGCACAACGCCTGGTACCTAGAAAACACCATGTGTTTATTAAACAAGCATGTGTACTTACATACTGTAAAAGCATGCACTTTCATTAGGATATGTATTTCATTCTAGTGTTTGCTCCTGAGAAACAATAAGCTGGCCCCCAACATTTAACTTAAAGATTATGTATTTCACCAAATGATTTTAAATATATATCTTGAAGAGATTTTGAGATTTTCAAAGCCTAACTCCAAAATATATATACATCACCCTCTGCATATGGCACACCATGACCTCAGCTCCAGCTTCCAGCTACTTTCCCATCAGTGCTGACACATTTGCAAGGAGCCAGACCTGCGCCCAGCCTGCCCCTGGTGGCCAGCAGCACAGGTCCACCAAAGGACAGAAGGCCGATTGGGAATATGGTCAGCACTCGGGGAACTGGTTTCTTTCTATGACAGTAAGGGCCCATTTGCCATCCAACCCAGGCCTCATAGGCACTAGGCTTTCCCAGAGTAAAACAAAGCAAACAAACAAACAAATCTGTTTTTCACAAAACACTTTCTTAAGGATACTTACATCAGATAGCATTGGCTCATCAAGTTCTTCCACTCTGCTCAGGTTAGGTGCCCCGTATCGATCGCTAATTTCAGCTAGCGTTTTGCCTGAGTCTGGTGTTATATCCTACAATCATTAAAATTCGTTTCTAATATTAGATGAGTTCAAAACGAATACGTTAATTTTCTTTGATTTTGGTAGGAGATTTCTGAATTACAACATCCAAATTCAGTGTCATTAATTAATGGAATGAACCAACACCTGTTAATGGAGAGAGAATTCTAGAGATAAATGCTAAAACTTACTTAAATTTAAGAAATTTAATTTAATACAGAAAATTAACATGTATCATTGGAAGTAAACATATGGTCAATAAATATCTCACGACATTCTGGTTTTTAAAAATGGGTGATGGGCGTTGAGGAGGGCACTTGTTGGGATGAGCACTGGGTGTTGTATGTAAGACATAAATCATGGGAATCTACCCCCAAAACCAAGAGCACACTGCACACACTGTATGTTAGCCAATTTGACAATAAATTAGATTTAAAAAAAAAAAATACAAACGCAAACCAAAAGTCCAATTTTTATCCACTTTGAGATTTTGCTCTAAAGAACACTGTACTCGTGAACTGTTGTTACTAGAACACATACTTGGACTATCAAGTTTGATAATTTCCTTATTAAAAAGTTTAGCTCCTAATGCATCAAAGTTAAGCTTTGCCCCCCAGGACACTCATTCATTTCACGTGACACAGAATAATGTTTCCTTCTCACCTCTGAATGTGAACTATCTTCACTCGTAGGTATGTTTTCTATATTCATTCCCATCTCCTACAATATATAAAAATGAAGAAAAATATTTGAATATACTTTCCATTTTGATTCCATGTTTAATGTTCAAGAAGGTTTATTTTTACATAGTGCTATGATCAGTTTAACAGCAAACATGTCATCACTTTTAAAAGGGTGACCTGAATACATTTAGTACAAAACTGCAGCTCACAGTCTCACTTAACACTTGACACTAATAGAAAACCATGTTTTATTTATAATTGAACACGACTCTTTGAAAAATGAAATGATCTGAGACATTAAACCGAAAGCCAAATTATTAGTTAGGGTGACAAGTGACAAAACAAAAACTTTCCTTCCATTTGACATCACTGAATCCTCACCAGAGAGAAAGGGGATATACGTCCCCATGTATTTAAAAAAATTTTTTTAACGTTTATTTATTTTTGAGACAGAGAGAGACAGAGCATGGACGGGGGAGGGGAAACAGGCTCCAGGCTCTGAGCTGTCAGCACAGAGCCCGACGCAGGGCTTGAACTCACGGACAGCGAGATCATGACCTGAACCGAAGTCGGCCGCTCAACCGACTGAGCCACCCAGGCGCCCCAACGTCCCCATGTATTTATGTGTGTGTGTGCACATGTATGTATAACCACGTGCCCTCCAACATTCAGACTGAGATAACATCAGCATCTGTGTTTTGTTAACTACGTGTGTTTTCAGACTATGTATAAGGTTTTGAATTTATCTTTTTTGTGTTTTATCTTAGTATTTTATTTTTTTAAGTAGGCTCCATGCCCAACACGTAGCCCAATGAGGAGCTTGAACTCACAGCCCTGAGAGCTGAGATCAAGTGTCTGACACTTAACTGACTAAGCCACCAGGAGCCCCTTAATTTATCTTTTTAAGAATCTCATTTTTTTTTTCAACGTTCATTTATTTTTGGGACAGAGAGAGACAGAGCATGAACGGGGGAGGGGGCAGAGAGAGAGGGAGACACAGAATCGGAAACAGGCTCCAGGCTCTGAGCCATCAGCCCAGAGCCTGACGCGGGGCTCAAACCCACGGACCGCGAGATCGTGACCTGGCTGAAGTCGGACGCTTAACCGACTGCGCCACCCAGGCGCCCCAAGAATCTCATTTTTGATTTCAATCCATTCTTCCACCTTTCAAAAAAGTGCTCTAAATAATGATGCTCTCATCTAAGCCATGAATAGACATATTCAATGAAACCTACTTCTATTTTTCATTTTAATTGTGGAATAAATCGAGGCTGGTTATAAACATAGAATATAAAATATCCAGTTGAAAGGTATAACTCAGTCCTTCAGAAGTTTGGTCTATGTGACACACACATTTTGGATCCCAGGGAACATTGGCCAAACTAGAGGTCTGACATTATACAGACAGTCAATGGAAACAGACTTTTTTTTTAAATTATTTTTTTAATGTTTTTATTTATTTTTGAGACAGAGACAGAGCGTGAGCAGGGGCGGGGCAGAGAGAGAGGGAGACACAGAATCCCAAGCAGGCTCCAGGCTCCGAGCTGTAAGCACAGAGCCCGACGCGGGGCTGGAACTCACGAACTGTGAGATCATGACCTGAGCTGAAGTCAGACGCCCAACCAACTGAGCCACCCAGGCGCCCCGAAACAGACTTTTTAACATAAGTCCCTGCGTAATTGAATGAAAGACATGAAACAGCCATATAAAAATATTTTGAAACGTAAAAATATTGTTGATAACACATCTAACACGAGGAAGAAATATGCGACTGTCTCAGAGATCAGAACACCCTCAACGTTACAAAGAACTTAACCTTCAACATCAGCTACCATAGTCAAGGACCACTGTGCCTTGACTAAAATGTTGCTAACATCCCCAAGAGAGAACTCTACTGCTCACAAAGCAGTTTCACTTATACGGTCTTGACTGATCCTCGTGACAAACCAGTAAGATAGTGCTAGTGATATCTTGTTATTCTTATTTTTCAAAAAGGCAAAAGGAGACTAACAAGGTTATGACTTGTGTCAGTCACACAGCTAATGTGTAGCACGTCTATGAATCCCACGTTATAACAGCTGGAAGAAACAGTTTGAGGGTTCTAAGAGGCTTTAAATAAAGCGGGCAGGTATAAAACTTCAAATTACCTTCTCTAATTGTTCCTGAGCTCTGTGTAGTTCTTCTACTCTTTGTCTCTCTTTTTCTTGCATTTCCAACTCCAGCTGGAATGCCAGCTGTTGCTGAATATTCAGAAATAAGTAAGTCATGTTAAAGTCAGATCAATTGCCAGGAATTAACTCTAATCACTCTGAAATGTCCCAGGATAATTAAGTTTATACCTACGTAAATTTCAGACGCTTACAAGAATAAATGATCACAGCCGCCTAATACTTTAGCTTTTACAAATATTTCCTGAAGTCTAACATAAAAAAGGAAGCTTCCTTAATTGCTAATTTGCAGAAAAGAACAATCTGCACAAAATCATGTTATTTTCTCTGTTCTTCTTAGAGCAACAAATGAGATTGTCGTACTTTTTTTCAGATAAAATCTCTTCATCCATAGATAGGTCTTCAAATAGCCAAACCTTGGTTACAGAAGAGTGGATGAGAAAACCTTAAGTATATTATCTGAAACCACAGATAATCAACAGCATATTTGGTTCCAACTCAACAGACATGCCACACTAGAATAGGGGTCAGCAAACTAAATTCTGTGGGCCACATCTGAACCCAGTCCTGTATTGTACAGTCCATGAGCTAAGAAAGGTTTTACAGTTTTAAATGGCTGAAAAATACCGAAAGAATAATATTTCGCAGCACATGGAAATTACAGAAAATTCAAATTTCGGTGCCTATAAACAAAAATTTTGTTGAAACACTGCCAGGTTCATTTGCTTACTTATTGTCTGTGACTGGTTTTGCAGAACGGCGGTTGGGTAGTTGCAACAGGGACCATAGGTGGTACTCTCATCATTTTGTGCTCTGCTCAGCACACTACAAATCACAGTCATGCCATTTTATCTCAACAGTTCTTGGAGTGGCATGGTATCACCACACCATGACATTTTTTAAAACAGTGCACACCCATCATGTCAAAACAAGAAAAGATGTGGATTTGGAATGTTGCTCTCTGAAGATACAGTGGAGAGTGGATTATTTTATTATCAAATTAAATGGCAAAGTATGGTGTTTACGAAGCAATGATACTTTATTAAAAGAATGCAACACTGGGAATGCAAGCTGGTGCAGCCACTCTGGAAAACAGTATGGAGGTTCCTCAAAAAACTAAAAATACAACTACCCTACGACCCAGCAATTGCACTACTAGGCATTTATCCAAGGGATACAGGTGTGCTGTTTTGAAGGGACACATGCACCCCCATGTTTATAGCAGCACTATCAACAATAGCCAAAGTATGGAAAAAGCCCAAATGTCCATCAGTGAATGAATGGATAAAGAAGATGTGGTATATCTATAGAATGGAATATTACTCGGCAATCAAAAAGAATGAAATCTTGCCATCTGCGACTACGTGGATGGAACTGGAGGGTATCATGCTAAGTGAAATTAGTCAGTCAGAGAAAGACAAATATCGTATGACTTCACTCATATGAGGACTTTAAGAGACAGAACAGATGAACATAAGGGAAGGGAAGCAGAAATAATATAAAAGCAGGGAGGGGACAAAGCGTAAGAGACTCATAAATATGGAGAACAAACAGAGGGTTACTGGAAGGTGTGTGGGAGGGGGGATGGGCTAAATGGGTAAGGGGCACTAAGGAATCTACTCCTGAAGTCATTGTTGCACTGTATGCTAACTAATTTGGATGTAAATTTTAAAAAGTAAAATAAAAGGGCACATTTTGTAAAAAAAAAAAAAGAATGCAATACTACCAGACTAAGCACGTGTCATCACAATATTCTCAGCCCACATGAAAACAAAGGTCAGAAGTATTAGAAAATTTAAGCATAATTACTTCATCACAGGATTTCTTCACAAAAATTAAAAATAGAAATGAGACTGCAATGGAAGCAAGTTCCCAAGTGGTTCCTTTGTTGGCGAAGCAAAGACGCTCACTTACCAATGATGATTTAATGACGCGTTTTGATTTCAGTGTCCTGGGGGCAGGGGGTGGGGTCGGGGGGGACTTACATTAAGATTTTGGTGAAACAGTTGCTCAAAGAGTTGATGGCTTTGGGAGCAACATCAACAAGCAATTAAAAACAAGGCGAATTATTTTGAGCGATTTTCCTTGGCTCCTGATGGGTAGACTAATGTTCCCAACACTGCTCAGGGGTTACTGTTTACTGGAATCAAGGCTGAGGGTTTTTGTTTTGTTTTGTTTTTTGGACAGAGAGACAGGGGAGAGGGAGAGAGAGAATCTTCAGCAGGCTCCATGCTCAGCGCAGAGCCTGACTCGGGCTTGATTCCACAACCCTGGGATCACGACCCGATCCAAGAGTAAGACGCTCAACCGACTGAGCCACCCAGGCGCCCCAGGGCTGAGTCTGAAGTGACTGAAAGATCAGCCTCTATGAACAGTCTTCATGGGACAACTACAGGCAAGAATATTTTCAAAGAAGTCGAGAAACATTAATTCAGTACAACCAGCAACGAAACCTGCTAAGATGTGTTACAACCAATGGTGAACGGAAAGAGGCTTAGTTGGACACGTTTACCAAGCTTGTGAAAACACAGCGTGGAGAGCCTATGAGTCGTGGCCGTATTGCCCACCAGCAGGTGCTCTGCAGGAAGTGTCACGTGCTCTTGAGCCAGCGGGACCAGCAGCACCTTTCCTTCACCCTTTTGAGCGTGCCCATCATCAGTTCTGTGAATTTGTGTCAGGAACGGAAACCGAATAAATCTAGGCTTGCCCTACCACACAGCAGTTCCACGGCTTCACCGTGAAGCCGAAATTTGAATTTTCTATACTGGCCATGTATCATGAAATGAAAACACGGTAACAGTTTAGTGTGAATTTTGGGGCTCAGGACCAAGATTGAAATTTTTCTGAATGAGAAGAATCATGTTCAGTCACTATTATCAAACCGTAAATGGCTTTGGAAATAAGCTTTTGCTACAGACCTAATAATGTTTTTAAATCGATTCAAACTAAACATACAAGGTGAAACAGCACTAATATGTAAAAATTTAGCCCTGCAGGACACACATTTCAACAACACCTAATGTTTGAATCACCATGTCAAGCTGCCTCATTCACTTCCCATGCAGGCAAAATCTAAAACAAGAAACTAGACCCCCATCCCCACACAAATCTGCAGCAGGTATATTTCCCAATCTCAAACTACAGATCCAGAGTTTTGTTGGGTTTTTTTTTTTTTTTTGGCCTTGATTTAAGTGCAAATTAAATTTCCATATCCCCAAATCCATTTAACTGTGTGATTGAGAAGCTTTTACCAACCTTCAATTGGAAGTGATTAATCTACAAGGTAATGACATGCCAAAAGGCAAAACAAGATAAAAATCTAACAGAATTCTACAAATGCATTCCAGGAGATAAATATAGTCAAAATTATATGCACATGGACTGATAATCAGTATTTGGCAGGAAGCATCTCTAAGCTATTTTCAAAGATGGAATACTAAAATCTCATTACAGATCAGCATTCACAGATAAATATTTTCAATCAATTTTGATGATAAGGAACATTAACTCTGAACTCCAACTAAGTGAAATATTATCTTTAAAAAATAATTTAAGTCTTCCAAGTAGTAAGCCGGATTCCAAAAAAAAAGTTATATTTTGCAGTCAATTTTATTTTTTTTTAATTTTATTTCATTGACACAACATTTGTGGAAATTTGTTCTCTCTTGCTATGTCTACATAATACTCCATAATACATACATATCCCATTAAGAGCATTTAAAAATTTTTTTAAACATTTATTTATTTTTGAGACAGAGACAGAGCATGAATGGGAGAGGGTCAGAGAGAGAGGGAGACACAGAATCTGAAACAGGTTCCAGGCCCTGAGCTGTCAGTACAGAGCCCGATGCGGGGCTCGAACTCACGGACCGCGAGATCATGACTTGAGCCCAAGTCGGATGCTTAACCGACTGAGCCACCCAGGCGCCCCAAGAGCACTTTAAAGCTATGCTTTTAAAACACATCTTTTAAAAATAATACATTTTGACAAATAAAGAGATAATAAACAGGAGTTAATATTTATTTACGAAAGGTCGTTGAAGGGAATTTCTTGGTAATTTTGTATCATGCACACTAGGATAAAAGTGATGGGTAGGTAGCCGAAGTGCAAGAACACATCACTCAATCCACTTGCAGATATTCGCAGAGGAAGTGAGATAACTAATCTCTCAACAACAATGCAAAATGTACTTGGCAAATACCAACCACATTGGTCATCAGAACCAGTGTAACATTTTCGGGAAAATTTCAAAACCTAAAACCTTCTTCACACATGAGTAAAACCATTAGAAAAGGTATTCAAAAAACAAAACAAACAGACAGACCAGCTTTTATACCTCCTCAGTAAGCTCTTAAGTAGAAAATGGCAGTAAAAATACTTCCCAGTTCACAAGGGCCTGGGGTTTACTGGAGAGTGCTTAAAAATCAGTAGCACTAACTGTGAGAGCAGGGAAGTGACCAGAGTCCCGAAGCCCAAGCTCACTTGATCCAATGGACTCTGAGCGCCTCTATGTTTCTTTGCATCTCGGTCTCACTCTCTCCCAAGCTCTTCTCTGGTGCTCCCTCCTCCCGACCCACGTGCCCCTTTTCCTCGTCTCATCTATTTCTGCCCACCAAGCTATTTCTTTAACTGGTCATAAAATCTTCTGGAGACTATTACTGTTATCTTCCATTCCCCATACAATGCTCAGGGTTCAATGCACAGCGGATCACTTCACGCTGGTCAACAGGATACCGCGAGAGGAGTGCTTGATTTCTAGTATTGCCAACTTGGATCTAAGTAAGACAAAGTGGATGAGTCAAAGAACGTTAAGTGCCTCTACATTTGTGACGTAACTGCCTTGGGGAAGGAGAACTGCTGAGAGGTTCTCCTTATTCTGATAGAAGGGGGCAGACACTGGCTGTAGAAGCTGAAGAACAAGGGCAGCTTCTCGAAAGTTGGGGCAACTACAGCAGACACTCACCCATTTGGATGATCGTTTGACACCCAACTCAATGCTTTGCCACCTCCTGATAGGAATTAGCCAAATGATTAGATAAAAAGAAGATTCGGAAGCAGTAAAGTTTTCAATAGCCATATCTGTCTAAGGTGCCTAGAATGTTCTACCCAAGTATCAGGTATGAGAGTTTAGGCAGAGAAACTATTTGCCATGTCTATACTCTTCTTATCCACACACCCAAATCACGGGCTTCTTTCCCTTTCCCTTAGCTGTGACTCGAGACTCTAGAGTTAAGTACTATGTGGTAGAATGGTAAGGATAACCTAAATTTAGTTCAGAGGCTCTTCATAAATTAAATCGGTCCAGAAGCCACTCTGGAACTTTCCCTATCTTGTTTACACTCCAGGACTCATCCCTTAAACCGTTCTCTTACCAACATCTTCAGCTCCCTAATCCCGTTACCCCAAACCTACTTTAGTCAAGGGGTCTGCCCCTTCCACATCTTCACTCAAATATCTGGCCTAAGTGGAGAAAACCCATAATCATAAAACCAAACCAACTGGCAACATTATAAATGCCTGGTCTCTAACTCTAACAGGGTACTCCATGCCACCAAGCAATGCTAAGTTTCCTGGTCAACTCTAACATCCTCCAAAGCCACCATTTCAAACCCTCACCGCTCTTCCCACACCTCCCACTTCATTGCCCCATTCTTGGAAGATGATCATGGTCTCTACTTCATAAAGAAGAGTCATTCAGAAACTGCTTTCAACTTTGTGCCACAAAACCTATACACCCACGTGTACCCAGACTATCCTCTCCCCATTTCTTAACGTCAACCACTCCCTTCCCCGCTGCTCCTAAAAAAACCCAGCCTCCCTCCTTGAAAATCTCCTTGAAAGCATTACCTTCACTCACCGTCTCCCCCGTTATCCTCCCCCCTCCCCAACACACTGCTCCTATCAAGGTCACCAGTGGCCTTGAATGAGCACTTCACAGTCTTGCTCTCACTCAACCAGCAATTGACTCCTCGGGTCTCACTGAGACGCTCTCTCCCCTTGGCTTCCATGAGAACACACTCCCTGGGTTTCCTCCTACCCCAGCTGCTGCTGCTTCTCTAGCAAAGAAGGCGTAGATGCAGAAACACAGAAACATGAAGATAGAAGAAAGCCATTCCTAACTGACTAGCAATGGGGAGTTTTTCGCCATTTGGGTCGCACCACACTGAGGCTGACCCCACTAATTCCAGTCACCCCTGAACCCCCACGCTTGTCTCACCTGCTGAATCAGGAGCTCCTCTGCTTTGAGCCTCTCCATCATTTCCTGCTCTATCAAAGCCAGTTCTCTCTCACGCTCCAGGCTGGCCATTTCCTTCTGTCTCTAGCAGTGTTCAAAAATAATATCAAGTGACTAAGTGGAGATAAAACAATTTGTGAAAACAATCTTGAAAGCATGTTAATCACCAACAATGGGGAAAGGGTAAGCAAATTTTACTTCACCCATGTGGAAAATGTGTAACAATTTGGGGAAATGTGTGTTTTACTTGAACAAAGAGCATAAAATTAAAATTATACAGTGGGTATGTTCACGATTATGCAAAAAGAAAAACTACAAATGTATAGAAAATGTATAGAAAAAAGACTAGAAGAAAGAGGTCTTCTCTGGGTATTTTTTTACGTTTTTGATATTGTCCAAGTTGTTCTATAATAAACATGCTATTTTTATAAACAGAAAGAAAGAACACTTGAACTTTTTAAAAAAGCAAATCGGACCAATTATTTGACTCTTCTACTGTTTTTTAATGCTTATTTATTTATTTTGAGAGACAGCACATGCAAGTGTGCATGTGAGCAGGAGCAGGAGAGGGGCAGAGAGAGAGAGGGAGAGAGAGAATCCCAAGCAGGCTCCACGCTGTCAGCTTAGAGCCCACCAGACGCAGGGCTAGATCTCAGGAATCATGAGATCGTGACCTAGTCGGACGCTCAACCAACTGGGGCATCCCTCACTCTTCTAATTTTCTACAAGAAGGTCCCCACTTACCAGCTGCTCCATGGTCACATTTTCCTTATATTTGTAAATCCACAATGCTAAATATTCTATTGGATCCACTGGGCGAATTCTCGCCACTTCTGCAAGACCTTGAGTTAGACACGTCCCAAGGCACTTTTGAAGATATGTCGACTCCATTTCTCACCCCTAACCTCTAAAAGGTAAATGTTTTTGCATTAATGCAGGAAATGTTCAGTAAGGCACAATAAAAGTAGAGTCCGGCAAGGCCAACAAAGCGTTACATCCTGTCGTGGATGTAACGTGGGCGCCCCCCCTCCCCCTGTCAGGGATGACACAAAAAAGCTGGCTCCGGGGAAACTTCTCACAGTTTCCAGAAAGCCTCCACAGATGTCACTACGACTAACACTAAGATGCGCTTTCAAAATCCTGAAGGGCTTTCGAGTCCAGGAGTCAGAGAAGAGCAACAAACAAAACCCCCAACCAGCAAAAGGAAGGAAATAATAAAGATTAAAGCAGAAATAAATGATACAGAAACTAAACAACCACAACAAAACAACGACAAAAAAAGAAAAAGGGTTACTGTCATTGGGAGCTGACTATACGCCAAGCAATGCATGTGTCACTTAATCCTCACAACATGGGTAAAAAATCGGTATTATTTATCCCCACTGTGTGGATGAGGAAGCCCAGACACAAGGAGTGTAAGTCCATATGGTGGAGATGGGATTCATACCCAAATCTTCATTCCAGAGCCATTACCTTCATGACTAAGATGTTCCTCCCAAGCCATGGGGGTCCGTTTTAGAAAACATCACAATACTCCACCTCAAGAAACCACAGAAGTCCATAAATCTCTAAGGACAAAGAATAAAAAGAATTCAACCTTCAAAGGATAGCATAAGAGGCTCCTCATGCTTTGGCCCCAATTTCTTCGCCCGCTCACCTCCAGACATCTCCTCTGCCACCAGCACATCCTGGGCTCTAACTATACTAAACATTCTGCCATGCTGCCAGTCACACCTTGCACACTTCAGTCTCCAGGACTGTTGTGCATAATGATTCCTCACCATCTCCCAGGCTGGGAAATGTCTCTCCTCACCCGCAAGATGTAGGTCATCTCTCATTCCCTGAGCCTTCCCAAGCACCGTAAAGAAATTCTTCCTTCTCCAAGCAACTCACATAGCACCTGTCATACAACCTGAGAATCATCTGTGTACGTGCATGTCCGTCCTCCCTCTAGAAGACAAACTCCTCCAGCTCCTCAAGGGGTGTGTTTTAATCACAGGGCAGACACGCTGGTTCCCCATGGAGCAAGTGAACGAGTTTCTCCATTCTCCCAATAATGTCCCAGTCTATTCAGTTATGAAGATGGACAGGAATAATCTTAGACCAGATTTAATTTTTTTTTTGAGAGAGAGACAGAGCATGAGCAGGGGAGGGAGAGAGGGAGACACCGAATTGGAAGCAGGCTCCAGGCTCTGAGCTATAAGTACAGAGCCCGACGCGGGGCTTGAACCCATGAACCGTGAGATCATGACCTGAGCCGAAGTCAGATGCATAACCGACTGAGCCACCCAGGTGCCCCAATCTTAGACTGGATTTAAAAGAGAGAAGAGAGAGAGAGAAAGAGAGAGAGAGAAGGAATGAAGGAAGAAGGAAGGAAGGAAGGAAGGAAGGAAGGAAGGAAGGAAGGAAGGAAGGAAGGAACAAGGGAAGGAAAGAAATGTAGCAACAACTGCATCTCAGGTGCTTTGAAAAAACTAATCACCCTCAAATTACCCTCACGGTGTCCAGTCTCTTCTGAGAATCTAATGAGATATAATCGTTGTTCAACAAATATATACTGTGTGCCTATATGTCAGACATGAGCAATTATAGAGCAGAGAATGCCAGCATGTCTGGTCCTGTCCCTGGATAGATGCACCTAACATTCCGCCTAAAATTTCAGAAACAACAACCTCCTGAGGTTCATCCATAAGGCCCACCTCTTCTCTCTCATTTGATGGTGGTGAGGGTACAAAATGGTATAGTACCCATGGAGAGGAATTTAGCAATATCTGGAGAATTAAACAGATATTTACCCTTTGAACTATCTGTCTCACTTCTGGGGATCCTATCTTGCAAAAATATGGAGTGATGATACATACACATGGTTATTTTGCACCGTTATTTAGAATAGCCAAGCTGCAACTGTATCCAAAACTTCTTCATTAAGGGACTGACGAAATACAGCAACACAATGAATTACTGTGCATATAAAAGACAAGAGGAAAGGGGCGCCCGGGTGGCGCTGTCGGTTGGGCGTCCGACTTCAGCCAGGTCCCGATCTCGCGGTCCGGGAGTTCCAGCCCCGCGTCGGGCTCTGGGCTGATGGCTCAGAGCCTGGAGCCTGTTTCCGATTCTGTGTCTCCCTCTCTCTCTGCCCCTCCCCCGTTCATGCTCTGTCTCTCTCTGTCGCAAAAATAAATAAACGTTGAAAAAAAAATTAAAAAAAAAAAAAAAGACACGAGGAAGGTCTCTAAAATAGGGAGTGACCTCCAGGACACTGGGAGAAAAAAAAAAGCAAGGTGAAAAAATTGTATATAGTATGTTTTGTATTAACAACAGCAGTGGAGAAAGGAATGTGTATATGTGTACATAAGTGCAGCCATAAAAACTTAAACTCTAAAAACTGGCACAAATGAGCCTAATTCCCTATCAAGCTTAACCATACAGAGAGAATGACAGTATTACAGATGAGTTTGAGACACGGTATCTTCACTGTGCTTCTTCCGTGGGATATACTCTAAAGACAAAAATAACTACATTGACAGGCAATGTCATCTGAAGTGGAGTAACACAAAACAGGCAACAGATTACTGAAAATACATGGGAAAGGGACCATGTCCCCAAGGAAGAAACCTCTGGCCTAAGAGCGGCTCCCAATGGAGGGTCAGTCTCGGATCTCTGGGCGTGGCTTAGCAGAACCCAGGTAACATCTGCTACCTCGCTTGGCATGTTTCCTGTCCATGAAATGACAATACCCATACACAGGTTCTTGCAAGGAATGTTACTTATCATATACACCAACGGGAGCATCGGCGCAATAGAAGAAAGCTCTTTCCCACAGAAACAGCTACCTCAAGCCCGTAGAAGTTGTCACAAGAAGTACAAAGAAGTCCTTTTGCCCGTGCTTAGGAGAAAGCCGGCCGGCCTAGTGAGAAAGGAGGGGCCCGGGTAGAGTTTCCAGTCCTCTCCACCCGGCGGCGCAGTGCCGCCAGCGGGGTTGAGGGGGGAGGAGAGGGAAAGTAAGAGGCGGAGGAGGAGACGGTAGCAACGGCGGCCGCCCCCAGGCGCTGCACTAACCTCGCTCTGCTCGGGGAGCCCAGGCGTCGCCTGAGCCCCACACCACTCACTAGGTCCAACGGCCCGAACCACCGCGCGCGCGGGACCCCAGCCAAGCGCCAGCAACAGGTCTGGGCGGCGCCCGCGCGCTCAAAGTCGCTAGGCATGTCCCGTCGCTAGGCAACGAGCGCGCGCCTCGGGACGCGAGAAGGCGCGCTGCCGCGGGGAAGGGACCCTGGCGCGCGGGGCGCGCGGCGCGCGGCGCGCGCGGCAGTGAGCGGGGGCTCCCAGGTTGGGTGAGTCCGGGCGCCAGCGGGCTGGTGGGCGGGGGAGCGAGCTCGCGGCGGAGAGGAGCGTGCGCGAGACTGGGGCGCAGAAGGCGCGTGCGGGGTGTGGCGGGGGCGCCACGCAGAGGGGGGAGCGCCGCCGTAGGTGAGCCGAGACTTTGCAACCTGGAGGCTGGGAGGAGGGGGAGGCCGAGAGGAGGAGTGGAGCGGCGGACAGGCCCGCGCTCCCTGGGAGAGACCTGTCCCCCAAGGGCGGGAAACCCCTAGAGCCCCCAGCCAGAGGAGACAATCGCGGTATTTCGACGGCCCCGATGTTTTAACAGCTTCGCACCTTTGCGAGTGCCGGTGACCTCTGCTTGGTTCCTATCAGAACCAGCTCAGGCGCTCCCACCTCCGGGAAGCCTTCCGACCTACGCCATTGCAGAGCCATTGCAGTCTTCCCAGGCCTAGTGGTTTGGGCACAGCGCTCTGCTAGCGTCTCCCAGGTTCTGTTTTAATTTATGTTGGGCAGTGCTGGGCAGGGGAAGCCTCACCAAACGTTGGTTGAGGCAGTAAGTACCAGACTGGGCACTGACAGATGGACGGGAGCTTGGGCTCTTGCCTGAGCTAGCACGTGCCAGGGCCCTCACTGATTAAGTCAAGAAATATTTCCTGAGCACCTACTGTGTGCTTAGCACTGGGAAGAGTGTCAACAAAGACCATCTCTATGCCGACTGAGTTGCAAGGCCGTGAGCAAGGAGGCGCAGTGTAAGCAGACCCTCAGAGGAGCTCTGGGGAAAAGAGCCCCCGCCCCCTTGGTAAGTGTGCCCTGAGTTTGTGGACAGAGGGCTGCGAAAGGCTTCCCTTTGGCCTCTCCCTCCCGAGGCCTCACACGGTGGTTCTGTTTTTTCTGGCTCTACTGCCTTTGCAGCAAGGCCTTGTAACTGTCAGGTCTCCTATTTCATTGAGACCATTGTTGAAAAGGTGCAGTGTCCAGCAGACGCTCACTCCAGAAAGGGTTTGCCCCTCCTTTCCTGCGGACAGACTGGTCCCGGAATGCAGAGTTGGTGATTCTGGCAGCTCTCCAGTGGTGAAAGCCAAGTAGGGCTGTAACAGAATCACCTGGGGATTTTGCTAAAATGCAGACTCTGAATATGGAGGTAGGGGGTGGGACCTGAGAATCTGCGTTTCGACAAGCCTCCAGGTGACGCAGTCCTGCAGATCACGGACCGAACTTTGAGTAAAAGGGGTGTGGAAGACAGCTTATCCAGGTGCATTGGTTCAGGTGGGCCGCACATTAACAGAAGTAGAATACCTCGTACCCCCACCCCCACCTTCCACTGTTATCCCAAACTTAGTAGCTTTAAACACACATTTATTCTCTTAGAGTTTTTGAAGCCAGAATCCAACATGAGTCTTAAGAGGGCTAAAACCCACACGTCCGCAGGGCTGGCTCCTTCTGCAGCCCCAGGGGAGAATCCGTTTCCTTGCCTTTTCCAGCTTCACAGGCTACCCACACTCCTTGGCTCCTGAGTGACGTCACAGTTTTGCCCTCAACTTCTGCCATCACACCTTGTTCCCTGTCTG